GAAACAAGAATATTTAGTTAATGTATGGTCAAAAATGGACAAATGACCATTAGTTAGCAAACAACTTTGTCACTCTCTTCTGCATGCCTTTTTCAGGCTCAGACTGTTCTGCCTCTCTCTGAAACCTGTCAAACAACATGTTTACTGCAAGTTTTGTGCAAACACTAAACATTTTTGCAAAACTAACTTGTCACAGGGTAGGAAGACAGGCTCCATTCATGATCAGTAAACACTTCAAATTTAAGAGGAGATGAACAGAGCTGGTGTCCAATCACAGAATCACAGAATCACAGAATTGTAGGGGTTGGAAGGGACCTCCAGAGATCATCGAGTCCAACCCCCCTGCCAAAGCAGGTTCCCTACACCAGGTAGCACAGGTAGGCATCCAGACAGGTCTTGAACATCTCCAGAGAAGGAGACTCCACCACCTCCCTGGGCAGCCTGTTCCAGTGCTCCGTCACCTCACTGTAAAGAAGTTCTTGCGCACACTTGTGCAGAACTTCCTATGCTGCAGTTTCCAGCCGTTTCCCCTTGTCCTGTCTCCACTCACCACTGAAAAGAGTCCGGCCTCGCCATTCTGCCCCCCACACCTTAGATATTTATAAACCTGGATCAGGTCCCCTCTCAGTCTCCTTTTCTCAAGGCTGAACAGACCCAGTTCACTCAGCCTTTCCTCATAGGAGAGATGCTCCAGGCCCTTCACCATCTTTGTGGCCCTCCGCTGGACTCTTTCCAAGAGATCCCTGTCTTTTTTGTACTGGGGAGCCCAGAACTGGACGCAGTACTCCAGATGAGGTCTTACCAGGGCAGAGTAGAGGGGGAGGATCACCTCCCTCGACCTGCTGGCCACGCTCTTTTTTATGCACCCCAGTAAGCCATTGGCCTTTTTGGCCACAAGGGCACACTGCTGGCTCATAGCCAACCTGTCATCCACCAGGACACCCAGGTCCCTGCAGAGCTCCTCTCCAGCAGGTCATCCCCCAACCTGTACTGGTGCATGGAATTATTCCTCCCCAGATGCAAGACTCCACACTTGCTTTTGTTAAACCTCATCCGGTTTTTTTCTGCCCAGCTCTCCAGCCTGTCCAGGTCTCACTGAATGGCAGCACAGCCTTCAGGCGTGTCAGCCAATCCTCCCAACTTTGTATCATCAGCAAACTTGCTGAGGGTGGCCACTATCCCCTCATCAAGGTCATTGATGAAGATGTTGAACAAGACCGGACCCAGCACAGACCCCTGAGGAACACCACTAGTTACAGGCCTCCAACCGGACTCTGCACCACCAACAACGACCCTCTGCGCTCTGCCAGTCAGCCAGTTCTCAACCCACCTCACTGTCCACTCATCTATCCCACACTTCCTCAGCTTTGTTATAAGGATGTCGTGGGGGACAGTATCAAATGCCTTGCTGAGATCAAGGTAGACTACATCCACTGCTCTCCCCCTATCCACCCAGCCAGAGACAACATCATAGAAGGCTACCAGGTTGGTCAAGCACGACCTCCCCCTTGTGAACCCGTGCTGACTACTCCTGATAACTTCCTCTTCTTCCAGTTGTCTGGAAATGACATCCAGTACAAGCTGTTCCATCACCTTTCCAGGGACAGAGGTGAGGCTGACTGGCCTATAATTGCCTGGGTCTTCCTTCTTGCCTTTCTTGAAGACCGGGGTGACACTGGCTATCTTCCAGTCTTCAGGCACCTCCCCCGTCTTCCAAGACTTCTCAAAGATGACAGAAAGCGGTTCAGCAATCACCTCTGCCAGCTCCCTCAGCACCCGTGGATGAATCCCATCGGGTCCCATGGATTTCTGAACATTGGTGCTGCCTAGGCGCTCCCGGACCACCTCTTCCCTGACTGAAGGGAGGTCTTCCATTCCCCAGATCCTCTCACTAACCTCCAGGGTCTCAGATTCCCGAGGGGGAGCTTTTTCACTGAAGACAGAAGCAAAGAAGGCATTCAGTATCTCCGCCTTCTCAGCATCCCCCATTACCAGAACACCCCCGTCACTTAGCAGGGGAGCCACATTCTCCCTAGTCTTCCTTTTACTGTTAATGTACTTGAAAAAACCTTTTTTATTATCCTTTATCCCCTTTGCCAGATTTAATTCCAGGCGGGCTTTAGCCTTCCTTGTCGCATCCCTGCAGACCCTGACAACATTCCTGTATTCTTCCCAAGTAGTCAGACCCTTTTTCCATATTTCATGGGCCTTCTTCTTTCCTTTGAGTTTGTGCACGAGCTCCTTGCTCATCCACACAGATGTTCATGAGGAAGAGATATTATGAGTACACTTAGCAGTATCTCTGGACCTGTGTTGTTCACTGCTGTCACTGATGACAGAGGAAAAGAAGTGACAAAGCCTGTGTATGATCCTATTTTAAATCACACAGTAGAACAGCCGACAGCAGTGAACAATGCAAAGTAATACAGTGGAGGTGGAATAATCTTAATGATCTGTAACAGAACAATTAATCACTACCACTTTGAAAATATCTTTTCAAATCACTGGGTGGTACTCAGCAGTTTTCAAAAAGGCAAGTGAGATTAGGGTAAAGGTACAGTTAGGGAAATATCTGTAACTATTACTTGATCAAACATCAATCATTCCATACTAACCATTACAATACTCAGTGCAAAGGCCTAAGTTATTTGTGTATACATAAAGCTGTTCTGATGATGATGACTATGTTTGTGACACAACTGAAGGCATATTGTTAAAAATAAAAATGTGAAATGAACACTTTCATTTTTTACTGCTACGTAACTGGAACATTTCCACACTTGCTAACATGCCAACTAGATTCTGTTTTAGCAGGATTCTCTTGGATGTTTCTTAAAAGTCTACCAGTTTTATTGTAGTACTTAATAATGTGTTAGCCAACAAATCCTAGATCTTTAGAAAAGCAGTATAATATAATAATATAAGCACGTATGCCAGGATATGCACAGATACAATGGTCTGCTGATAATACATTTTTCTGATAATCTACTCCTTTATTTTGATTCAGTTTGGATAGATTTACATTTCATTAATGTCTTTACTGACTTAGCAATGTAGTCCTTAACTTGTTTACTTGTTTTCTCAATTATTTCTTGGTTGTTTGTTTTTTTTTTTTGTTTTTTTTTTAAAGGGCACCTTTGCTGATGCTAAATACAGCCCCTCTGTTTGTGATTACATATTCTGCAGCTATCACCTGTTGAATATATAGATCCTTGTACAGAAAACTTTTCTTTTTATGCATTCTGTTACATGTGAATTGTGGTTTTTCTAATGAAAATACTTTAATAAAAATATCAAATTGCAAAATATCTCTTGAAAAAGGAAGGTGCATGGTCTCCAGCTTTGCTTCCCTGGAGTGATAAAAATGGATCTTCTTGGCATCACTTCCACTGTGCAAATCAATTAATTTTGCTGCAGTTTCTGTCAAATGAACCCTAACAGAGCTTGCCATAGCAGTTTAAGATGCCTTCAGCAATTTATCTTTGCACCAGGGATGAAAAAGCATAGCGAAGGACCAGAGCTAGCTGGCACAGCATGTGTGCTGTATGAACGAGTATCTTGGTTTCCCCCCTATAGGCTGATGCATGAAATGTGAATTGTAGGAACTGGAGGCAGCCACTGACACTTGCATTGCTCTGGGGCAGCTATGCTTGATGAATGTGTGGGAGAGGCAGCTGGGATGGCAGTGCCTTAAATAAATGAAAGTTTTCTAAAGAAATTTGGTGTGAATCTGGCCTCTGAGTAGCAGGATGATGGTGGTCTCACTGCTGTAGAGGAGTTCATTTTGCTCCTACTTTTAATGTCAGTGTACTTGAGAGAAGATGCACCTATTTCTAGGTGCTAAAGAGGATGCAAGGAATTGGAAAAAGCAGTAGCAAATAGAGACACAAGACAGAAAAAATAAAATTGCAGTCTCTACAAGGTAGAGCAGAAGGACATGGCACTGAATGAATGATCAGAACATGATATGACTTTATCACAGCTAAATGATGTTATCCTAGCTCATTAGTTTTCTCCAGAAAGAGAACTGTTTTTCTGTGTTACGAGAGTTTGGCAACACCATGTTATCAATACAAGTTGGGGGACAAAAGGACAGAGCACAGCCTTTCTGAAAAGGACTTGGGGGTACTGCTGGATGGGAAGCTGGAAATGAGCCAGCAATGTGACCCTGCAGCCCAGAAAGTCAACCATATCCTGGGTTGCATCTAAAGAAGTGAGTCCAGCAGGGCAAGGGAGGTGATCCTGTCCCTCTACTCTGCGCTGGTGAGGCCTCACCTGGAGTACTGCATCCAGAGGTGGAGTCCTCAGTACAGGAGAGACATAGACCTGTTGGAGCACATCCAGAGGAGGGCCACAGAAATGATCCAAGCGATGGAACACCTCGCCCGTGAGGACAGGCTGAGAGAGCTGGGGCTGTTCAGGCTGTAGGAGAGAAGGCTCCCAGCAGAGCGAAGAGTGGCTTTTCCATGTCTAAAAAGGGTCTATAAGAAAGTGGACAGACTTTAGCAGGAACCACTGTGATAGGACAAGGGAAATGGTTTCAAACTAAAACACAGCAGATTTAGATTGGATATAAATTAGTTTTTTACACTGAGGGTGGTGAGGCATTGGAACAGGTTGCCTAGTGATGTGGTGGATGCTCTGTCCCTGCAGACATCAGGGTCAGGCTGGATGGGGCTCTGAGCACTCTGATTCAGCTGTAGGTGTCCCTGTTCATCGTATGGGGATTGAAGTAGCTGGCCTTTAAAGGTCCCTTCCAACTCAAGCAATTCTATGATTCTATGAACTTTGTGGGCCCCTTCCAGCTCGGGGTATTTTTTCATTCAGCAATTTGCAGGTGACACCAGTCTGACTGTAACCAACGAGGCAGGCAGCCTAAACGCCCGCCTTCTCGTCACACAGCACAGCACCGCACCGCCACCGCGTGCAGCAAACCGCCCGCGCAGGGAGAGGAGGTCCTGACTCCCGCTGCTCCTCCTCTTCCCCGCTGCCGACCGGGCGGGGCTCAGCCGCGTAACCACCGCCGTCGCCCCGTCCTCCATGCCGGGCGGTACTTGTGCCTGCGTCTTCCGGCAGTAGAGAGCGGCGGTGGGAGCGGGTGAGTGGCGGAGCCTGGCGGCGGTGGCGGGCTGGGCGTCGCATCGGCACCCCGTGCCGGTTCTTGGGCGCCCGGCCGAGGGGAGCGCTCTGTGGGAGGGAGGTTGGCACGCGGAGCGCCGCAGTGAAGCCGGGCTGCTCCCAGCGGCGGCTGCGGGGCTGTGCGGGCAGCGGGCGGGTCGGCCGCCGGGTCGCCATCTTCTTTAAACGTTAGTACCTAAATTGACAGAGTATACGCGGTACCGGGGGAAAGAATTTCAAGCTGATGTGAATTCGAAGAGCTAAAAGTTACAGAAGGGGAAAAAAAAAAAGCTACCTTTAAAGGTGTTGAAAGTGCATCATTAAAAAGTTGGCGGTGCCGTCACAGTGCCAGATTGTAAAATCGGCAGTTTGAGGAAATTATTAATGGTCGCGTCCGCATTTTGGTACGTGGGCCCTATTTTCCCTGGTGACTTAACGGCAGCATCTTTAGTGCGTTGGTTTAGCTGTGGGATTCACCTCCTGCCTGCTTTAACACAGTGGAAAAGTAGCTCTTGTGTGAGGAAGAGTTTGTGACACATCTGGATGCTGATGAGTAACTCTGTGTACTCACCAGGTCTGCACAGCAGCGTTGCTTCCTGGAACAACAGAGCTGGTCCCCATAGGCAGCTGCTGTTTAACAGGGGCTCAGGACTGTTTGAGACCTTTTTGGACCCCACTCGGCTCCAGCTGCTGTCTCTGCAGCCCTTATTCAAGTGGAAGCTGCTTTTGGTGCTTTGCTTTTTCCGTGTCCTTGCTTCGATGTCTGTGTTTGCTGGAAGAGTTGTACATTGTTGTGTTGTGCTTCTTTGTGTGCTTTTGGTCACCAAGTGCCTTCCGGGTGCCCGCAGTTTTTAGTCTGGGATGCTCTGTATGCAAGTCGTATGTTGTGTGTTTGTGTTGAGAGGTGCTGAGGTGTTAGCATCTTTTGGTTCCCCCACACTTGTTGGGGATGTAGAGGCCCTTTATATCTTAAGGACTGAAATCTCAGCTCATCCTCTAACCATAGGACCATAGGATTGCTCAGGTTGGAAAAGACCTTAAAGATTATCAAGTCCAACCACAACCTAACCATACTACCCTAACAACCCTGCAATATATCATGTCCCTGAGCACCGCATCCAAATGGTTTTTAAAACATATCCGGGGGTGGTGACTCAACCACCTCCCTGGGGAGCCTATTCCAGTGCTTAACAACCCTTTCTGTAAAGTTTTTTTCTGATATCAAGGCTAAACTTACGCTGGTGCAACTTGAGGCCATTTCCCTTCATCCTGTCACCAGTGAGAAGAGACCAACCGTGCTCTCGCTGCAATCACCTTTCAATAAGCAATAAGGTCTCCCCTCAGCCTCCTCTTCCCCAAACTAAACTGCCCTAATTCCTTCAGTCTCTCCTCATAGGGTGCATTCTCCAAGCCTTTCACAAGCTTCATTGCCCTTCAGGCTGCTGGGTTTTGCAAAATGTTGTGACGTTCCCGATGAACTGAAAATATGCTGGGATGAAGATGTGCAAAGGATGTATGGGTCTCCTAATAACTTTGTTAAAAATTGTGTTTTGTGTTTTAGACCACAATGAACGTGGAACATGAAATTAGCCTCTTAGTTGAGGAGATTCGGCGGCTGGGGACCAAAAGTAAGCATTGTAATGTCTCTGCTCATACAGATACAGTCATGTTATACCATCCTATGGACCTGGCAAATTTAACTAAACGGGCTCAGATAATGTGTCCCACGTATGTTTAATATGGGATTGCATGGTATTCCCATGACCCACATGTGTTCGGAGCAGAGAGGAAGCAGGCCTGAAGTCCTGCCCCCAATAAAATCGACAGCCAAATTACCTTCTAAGTCCCAACATACTTGCTACGACTGTCAAATAAACAGCACCATTACCTTTCACATCCTTCCATGGTAACTTCTGAATTTCACAAGTCATATTCGTCAATTCATCACTGTTGGAAGGAATTCATCCATGTGCCTAAACCTCTAATTAGGAGGTATAGTCCCAGCCTTTGCTTGGATTTGCTTAGAACATGGACTTGTCTCTTAAGATGGCTCTTCATTGTTAAAACTCCACTTTCTTTACAAATACTTACCCCATTTGTGGGGGTGGGACCGGCTCATATATTTTAGTTCTGATGCAGTTTCTTTTGTTTTGCAAAACTTGATACATACCTCTTGCATGTTTAAGAATAACTTATCTAACATGAGCATATATTTTAGAATTACTGTTTAAACAAGAACTTTCTAACATTTTAAACATTCCAAAATATTTTGGTTCATTAAAACAGTTTTATTCTTTCTGCTTTGAAGAAGTGAAATAGCCTGGGTTAGTTGTAAGTTTCAGAAAGGCATCAATAAAAAATAAATATGCCAGATACATGGACGCCGATGCGAGCCTAAGAAAAAGAATAAGTCTTTGTCTACTACTTTATCTCTGGCTTTCATAGCGTGGTTCCCTTTATAAAGTCAAATCTCATGGAAGTGAAGTCAGAACCAGGTGCTGGCAGCTAGGAATCACCATGGGACTTACCTTCAGTACTCTGCCTATAACTTCTGTATCCTTGGGAATCTCCGAACTGAAGGAACATCTGCAAATGCTTTCATGTTTTGTCTTTGATTTAGATGCCGATGGACAAGTGAGCGTGAAATTTGGTGTGCTCTTCTCTGATGAAAAGTGTGCCAACCTCTTTGAAGCCCTAGTGGGAACTCTTAAGGCTGCAAAACGACGAAAGATTGTCACTTATCAAGGAGAGCTGCTTTTACAAGGTGTTCATGACAATGTTGATATCATGCTACTGCAAGACTGATGCAGTGTGCATTTCAGCAGTGTTAATTGTATTGTTGGAGACGGCGACTTCCAACGTCCTCTGAATCAGACTGATCATTCTTATGTGTTTTGACGCATTTTCTATATCTTTATAGTTGAAAGGAAATTTTCCTATTTTGGAAAAACATTCCCTTTTGTGATTCTTCCTAAAACAGTACTGTACATGATCAAGGTAAAAAGATGCCAGTTCTTTTTATTCTTTTTTTTTTTTTTTTTTTTTTTTTTAAATCTCAGGTAATACTTTTTAATGGTGGTTATTTTCAACATATGAAGAATGGAACTGGTATTTTAATGTTTACAAATCAAAACATGCCATGAAAGTAAAAAATAAAGGAACACACATCAGTTCATATAATTCTTATTAGTTGTTTCTCTCTCTTCTTATTTGAAGTGGAAATGAAAACAAACAGAATTTCTGTAAGCAGTATGGTTAAGTGACATAAAACATGGCAGTGAGATAGAAATGATTTTACTGCATGATGCAGTCAAAGAATGCCCATTCTTTGGAGTGGGGAACAGCAATAAAAGCATTCTAAGAGCTGGATATGTAAGTCTGTTTTGTAAGTAGGGTCCTTCATAGCAACTAGAGAAGAATAAATCAAGCATCACTCTTGGAACGAAGCAAAAACCAGTAATAATTGGCTTCTGTGTGGAGATCGCAGTTTTACGTACCACACTGCTGAATCTCCTCAACAGAGTTTACTGTAACCACCAACCCTTCCTGTCCCTGTGATGCTTCTTCTCTTTGTGTAAGGAGTGGCTGAAAATTCAGTGCTGCAGCAACTCCTCCTTGCTTTTAGCTTCATTAGAGCAGCTATAGTGAGGAATGCAGTTTTAAGGCAGCTGTAGAGCTGCTTCTGCTTGATGAGGGAAAGAGCACATAAACACATACCAAGCATGATCTATTTCTCCAGCTAGAGTTTCTAAACTCACAGCTTTTTAATTGTAGCTTTTGCTACCGTCTGTACTTTTTTTTTTCATGGAGCTGTAAGAGACCAAGTTTTAGCTTTCTCATGTGTCAGAGCTTATTCAGTGACCAAATTGTGCACAGAAAACCATGGGTGATATGTACCTCGTTCATTTCTGGCAGTGTAATACAGGGTTTTTTTTTGTGCCTTCCAGACTTGTGAAGGAGGTGTGTGAGGAGTACCCTGAATTCTTTCATGCAGTGTTAGCCAGGAGTAGCACAGAGATTCTAGGCTGTGATTATTTCCTTCACAGAAATCTTATGTTACCTAAATCAGTCCAGGAGAGTGGGGAAAAGAAGCCATTTTGATTGTTTTCTAGCTTGCTGCAAGTTCTTACAAGCACGTGAAAATACTTCTTCAACTATAGAGAAGAAGTTGTTGCATGGGCCAAGCTAGCAGCATGCTGCTCTGAGCTGCCCATCCTCTGCTGAAAGATCAGTGAATTTCTTTAGTTGCTTTTTATATGTGCAAAATTGCTTACTTCATCTTGCTTCCAAGTGTGGGGATTGCATGCGTGGTTAGGGATTCCCCATGAAGCTGTATAAGCCCAGCTGCTGTCCCTTTCATTTCTGTTTGTTCTGCTTTGTGCAACAGGAAAACAGTTGAGATCCTGTTTGCAAATGGATCTGCCGCTGCCGCTGCCTTTGCCTGTGCTGGCCCCAGCATCTGGAGCGTGTGGGGAAACTGGAGCTGGCTGCGGTCAGAAGCAGCACTAGCTGCCAGTATGGCTTGCTGGCCACAGCAGTTCTGTTTGCAGGGCTGTGTGTACAAGTGCATGCACTGCTGTGCCCCACTGGTGGGAAGGGGGATGGGGGCCAGGCCCTCTGCATTTGGGAGGATGTCAGGCTTGCCAGATAACCGCAGTTGTTTTTTCATCTGCTTATATTTTCCCAGAAGCCTGAGTCATTCTCTGGCTTCGTGGGATGGGCAGAATATGCTGACAAAACTGAGTGTTTCGTGAAGTTTTGGGCTGTGAATTTTGGCACAGAGAATTCTAGCCTGCCTTAAGACACAGTTCTGTTCGCAACACCTCTTTAAGCACTGAAGAGACCTTAGTCTTGAAAGCTGAGGTACCACTGGATTCAAGGCTTAGGGTTGGGCTGGAGCTGAGACAGGATTATAAGGAGATTTTGTGTCTCATTCTGGAGATTTTGTGTGTCATTATTCTCTTAACAATGCTGATAAATGTTTTCAGTGCACCTGAGAACACTGAGTAGCAAGAGACAGAGGAACTTGGCAGTGGAACAACCTGGGACAACCTGAGAAAGCTGTGACTGTGTGCTGCCCAGAAGAGCCGAGGCTCGTGGTTCCTCTGTTTCTGAAAGCAAAAGAAGAGCAATGTGAACAAGTTTCCGAGAGATTGCCCTCACTGCAGCATGTAGTGTGTTTAGATGTCTCCAGAGCATTTCTTCAGGCTCTGTGTAAGCACTCATGGCTTCATTTCTAATATTTCCAGGGAAAAACAAATGCTGAGATTGTTTCATGTGTGTGGGACTACACTTCCGTGAGGGAAGTAATTCCTACAGCCAATGGCCTGGACACAAGTTGTGGTTCCTGGAGCACTTGAGACATTAATAAAAAAGCCAAGTATGGGAAAGCTATTACCTATTTTTGTGAGCAATAGAAGGACCAGCAGTCCCTAGTGACAGGTGCAAGGGAAATTTGTAGGTCTTCCAGCAACACTAGAGGTCGTATGCATTAATGTTAGGAAATTAGTTTATAAGTGGTTTAACTAATTCAGTCTCCTATCTATGTTAAGACCTAGGAGCGTGTTTAGATGTGCTTCTGGCAAGTATAGCTGGTAGAATTGAAGATTTTACTACCGTGTTTCTTGAGCAGGGACAGTTGGAACAATTGTGGAGTGGAGTGTGTTTGCTGATCTCAGCTGTTTCCATGCAAAATTCAGTCTCTGGACACAAACGTGCCTTCCAAAGAAGTTTTGGATAAGCTGTGAAGTCTTTGAGACATGGGTTTGTGTAACCTCTGAGTGGTAACAACTTCAGCTGTCGTCACTGTTTCTCATGTAAGCATAGTTTTTTTGCTGGGAATCTGAGCAAATGAAGGGTTGAAATGTATGCAATATTGTATCTCCCATCCCTATTTCATGTTGGAATGAATGGTGAAACTGCATATTGTTTTTGCTTATTTCTCATCTCCCCTCTGAAGCTTTTCTGGAGGTGTTCTTTCCGCTTGAAGGGATTTCTCTCAGTGACAGCAATGCCGCTTTTGCCATTCAGATCTGTGTAAAGCTGCTTGTCTTTGCTTAGTTTCTGTCACAAATAACACTTGAATGAAAGAAGAGTAGGAGGAGCGGGAAGTTCTTGCATGCAAAAAAAATGATTATATCATCACTGTTACTTACCAGATTTATTTACATTCTTACTATGTTGGATGTTGAGAAGAAGGCTGAGCATCTTGAATCGCCCAGCTGCAACAAGTGGCTGTTAAGCAAGCTTGCACAGTTGCAGAGCCCTTGTTAAGCCAATGCAGTGTGAACTGGTGAATGCCACAGGCCTGGCCGTACCACTCAGTATCAGAAGATCAACTAGTAATGATGTCTTTGTATCAGCTCTGTCTGGTATGCAAGAATAGTGCTAAGATTCAGGTCTACGCAGTGCAAAGTAAGACATGAGCAGTGTTGCCTGAAAATCCTGTCTGATTTATACGGTGTATGCCTGATGTGTAACAGGAATTGTGGTTTCAAGGACTCGAAGAAACAAGCAAAACCTTCAACATGCCTTTCTTTTGGAAACTGGCAAAGTCAATAAGGTTGCAAAAGTGTGCATGTTCTTCTCAAGCAAGTATGGCATCTGTGTGCTCTGTAATGAAGGACTTTTTTTTCTGTTTGAGTGTAAGAAAGCAATTCATCCCAGTGTCAGCTACAAAAGGTAGACCTAAATAAGAACCAAAAAATTTGAAGGAAGTGAGCCTCTAGACCAAAAAAGGTTCTAATGTCTGTCAGCTATTTGGATCAGCATGTTATCTGTCCATGATAAAAATGAGTTTGATAACCCAGTGACATATTTAAGGCTGAATATCTCTCAGAACAAAAGTCAGTATGGCATAGCTTGTTTTGCAGCCCCAAAAGATGATGATACATGCCAAAATACTCTCCGTTCTTGCTTTCCTACAGACCAATCATTTTTTTTTTTTTTTTAACTTTGTGAACCATCTTCTAAGCTGTTGATAAAGACCCAAATTCACCCCTTGGTGCATTTATTATGTACTGCAAACAAACAAACAAACAAAAAAACTGCAAAGACAAAGGAATAGTTTAATACTCTCAAATACATGGAAAAATGTTTGAATTGAAAACTTGCTGATGTTGGAGATGACGCTAAAACACAAAGATATATCTTTGCCCAAAGATACAATACCTGTGCCAACCTAGATCCTCTATGGTTTGATTTTCAAGGCAAGTTATCTTTTGCATTTTGATCTGAAATGGCGTTCTCAAATAAAACCAGCAGCAGGCCAAAGAGTAACTCCAGTACAGTGATTTCAAAGAATCTGTATAGTCAGTACTTTCAAGTATCCCTTTATTTAAAAAAGGAGTCGTATGGGTTAGGTAAGGGAAAGGGTTTAACAGTGTCTCTATAAAGCCAGTGCATTTAAGATCTAGTTACGTAAACTACTCAATATGAAGCTGTTCTAATAAAGTTTTCCAGAGGGTGGCAGTTCAGTGTAGTTCTGCCTCTGAGTACAGCTTGAGCCCCAGATACAGAACAAATAAATATTTCAGTGGCTGAAGCTAGGTTCCTGGCAGATGCTTTGAATAAAGCACCAGAAAAAGTGTTGTCTTGTGATGTACCTGCAGATGTCATTGCAGATGATGCTTGTCTTTGCCAAAACATCTGAAGAACTTTAGGAGGTCAAGCACCAGGCTGGTATCCATTGAGGGAGCAGTGCCACCTACACAGGCACCCCAGATTCTTGTCCTATAAGATCCTACATTCTTTCAGATACACGCTTAGAGTCAGACCCAAGAGTTTTCACAAACACCACAGCATTATGTTCATGATATTACTCCTTTTCAAAGCTCATTGCCCTACAAACACTGTGTGCTGAAAGCTGTTTCTCCTGAGAGAACAATACTATATACCATATATCTGTAAATGCATATTATGTAAATATATTCATACAACATGCATTCAAAAACTGAAGGGAAGCGCTCAGTAAATACAGTTATGTTTCAACAGTGATATAGTGAGCTGTATTTACTGACCTAAATCTACCACATGGTACAGAAGATTACTTTACAGGAGTTTAAATGGCCTGGATGAAAGACTCAAATGTATGCTAGGTAAGCTTGCAGATGACGTTAAATTGAGGTGTTGACTGTCTCAAAGGTAGAGAGGCCTTGAAGAGAGATCTTCACAAATTGAAGGGCTGGACAGTCACCAGCCATATGAAGTTTAGTTTAACAAGGGCAAGCGCCAGATTTTCCACCTGAGACAAGGCAGCACTGGCTATATGCACAGGATATGGCCCAAGAGTCTGGAGAGCTGCCCCGTGGAAAGAGATCTGGGGGTTCTGTCTGATGACGAATTGAATGTGAGCGAGCAGTGTGTCCTGG